CAAAGTGTTGAATACAGAATGAATACAGGCAATAACATTAACCTCTTATAAAACTTACTACAGCAATGATTTTGGCCAGGTTCTAGGCATCATGCCATGTCCAGACTGTGATGGATTCTGAGTTACTTGTACCTGCCTTTGTTTGATTCTTACTCATCATCCGCTGAAACAAGTAATACAAATACAAATGCTCCCTAGATACAATCAGACTGCCATTGCCTAATCTCTTCCTTCACTTTGCCAGCTCAGTAAGGTCCTGAATGGACAAGAAGGTGTTCTTTCATTTGAGGAGGCCAAACTATGCGTGGTTGTTGCCAGACAACAAAATGTTCTTGGACAAGACAAAATCTCCACCTTGTATCCAAAAAATCATTATAGGCTGGGAATTCCACTTCCACACCCTGTGTGTATCGACATACTGAGATAAGTTGGATGATGGAATATTATCGGCTGTGGCTCAGTTGGTAGAGTCATCGTCTCTCAACCGGAAGGTCGAGGGTTCGATCGCTGGGCAACATGTCCGATGTGTTCTTGGGCAAGATGCTTAACCCCGAATTCCTCCTGCTGCTAAGGCAGCAGTGTATGAATGGGTTTAGTTATTTCTGATGGATGACACTACATAGCAACGACTACCATCAGTGTGTGAATTTGTAGGTGTGACAGGCAGTGTATACTGTAAGTGCTTTGAGTAGTCGGAAGACTAGAAAAGCGCTATAAGTTCAAGTCCATTGACTGGATGCAAACTACCTTTGTTTGATGTGCATCTCTGTCTTGAAAAAGTATTTCACATTGTCAGAGATCTCACTTATTGATCTTGTCAAGCATCATAATGATGGTCCTGTACCAACACTAAATGCAAAGAAAAAAGGTTTTATTCTACTTCTACTTTTACTCTCAGGCAATGTTAAACCAAATCCAGGCCCTGCACTGAATAATATTGCTACACCTGATGAATTCAGAGCCAGAACTGGCCTTGGTATCATTCATATTAATGTTCGGAGCCTTGTCCCAAAATTGGACCTAATTAAAATTTGGACACAGTCAACTGATACTGATATTCTTGTATTGTCTGAAACATGGCTTGGTAAGTCAGTCTCAGACAAAGATATTTTTATTAAAGGTTACAATGTCTTTCGTAGTGATCGGCCCAGAAAAGGTGGTGGCGTTGCTATTTATGTCAAAAATAAGTTCCATGCTACCATCTGCAATTTGAACTTTTTGCCCTGAAACTTGAATTCTCTCAGGGCCAGTCTATCTCAGTTTTGGGTTGTTATAGACCTCCTTCAGCCTGTTTGGAAGCCTTGTCCTCCTTATCCAGCTATGTTGCTGGACTAAATTCCAGTGAGCTACTTTTGGTTGGGGATCTAAATTGTGATTGGCTGTCCACAGCCACGGACAGCCTCATATCTGTTTGTGCCTCTCTAAACTTGTCTCAACTGATTGATAGTCCAACGTGTCCTAATATTAAACAACCCACAAGATCAACCCTACTGGACTTAATTTTGACAAATGCCCCTCATAAGTATACAGATATAGGGGTTTTTGCAAATGATCATTGTGCCATTGCAACAGTTCGAAATGCCAAGCTTCCCAAAACCAAGCCTCGGCTTCTTCTTAAAAGAGATTTTTAACACTTTTACAAACAAGCTTTTATACATGATCTGGCTTGTTTTGATTGGACCACAGTTTTTCTCTTTGATAATGTAGAGCTAGCCTGGAAGTATTTTTATGACGGATTTCTGTTTTTAATAGACAAACATGCCCTGTTTCGCATAGGGCGAAACAATCCTTGGTTTTCAACAGAGATTGGAAATCTACTTAAAGATAGGGATGTTGCCTGGGCCAGGGCAAGGAAATCCAAAACCCCAGTGGATTGGCTCCTCTTTCGCCAGCTTTGTAATAAATGTACAGCCCTAATTAAGAGGGATAAATCAGAGTATTTAATCTCTGAAACCACAAAAAACCTTAATGACCCAAAGAAATTTTGGAAAGTCATAAAATCTTCTTCTGGCCATGTGTCACCCAGTGAGTGAGTCTTGCATCCTGACTGACAAATCAGCCATGCTAAATTGTTTTAATGAACATTTTATTTCAGCTGGCTTTTATTTGACTCATTGCACCCTGATTTGGTAAAATCCGACAAAAATCAGGATAATGCGTCACTGGCACCTGAGGTTGATAGTCAATTTACTGTTCATCCTTTTCAATTTATGCCAGTGTCTGCCACTGAGGTGCAGAGCGCATTACAGAAACTGGACTCTAGGAAATCAGCAGGTCCTGATAAACTTGAGGCGTTCTTCCTTAAGTTGGCTGCTGATTTTATTGCTGAGCCTCTTTCATATATTTTTAACCTCAGTCTGATCAGCAATGAAATCCCAAAGGTCTGGAAATCAGCATTTGTTCTTCCCCTGTTAAAAGGGGGTGAACCCTCACAAGTGAACAATTACAGACCAATTTCTAAACTTTGCATTTTGACTAAAGTATTTGAAAAAATCATTAGTGAACAACTGAAGGATTTTTTGGATGCCAATAATGTGTTATCTAAGTATCAGTCAGACTGACATTATTGAAAAAATTGCCTCTTGGTTTGGCAACTATCTGTCAAACAGAACGCAATGCGTGCAAATGGCAGGATCCACCTCTTCCTTTTTAGAAATCTCAAAAGGGGTGCCCCAAGGTTCGATACTAGGACCTATTTTATTTTCCATTTATATCAATAACGTGTGAAAATTGTCAAATGTCATGTATCACTTTTATGCTGATGACACTATCATCTATTGTTGCTCAGCATCTGTCTGTTACAAGCTTTTGAGTTTCTGCAGTCAGCTTTCAATGTTGTCAAGTCTAGTTTGAGGGAACTAAGGTTGGTCATAAACACTGATAAAACAAAGCTCATGTTGTTTTCTCATTTAAGTGGAGAAACAACAAATGTCCCACTGATTTTAACTTCTCAAGGAAATGTAATCGAGCTTGTCAAAAGCTACAAGTACTTGGGATTTATTCTTGAGTGTGATCTGTCTTTTCAATTCAATTCAATTCAATTTATTTTGTATAGCGTCAACTCATAACAAGTGTTATCTCAAGACACTTTACAGAAAGCAGGTAAAATACCTTACTCTTTGTCTGTTAACATTACAAAAGAGCAGGTAAAAAGACCTTACTCATTGTTATTTTACAAAAAGCAGGTAAAAGCTTTTAAATCACATATTGCCAATTTGGCCTCTAAACTTAAAGTGAAGTTGGGATTTTATTACAGAAATAAATCTTGCTTTTCCCTCAGAGCAAGGAAACTTCTTGTTTCATCAACCTTTCTTCCTTTGTTGGATTATGGAAATGTACTGTATATGGGCGCCTCGGCCAAATGTTGACAGTCATTGGACACTGTGTATCAGTGCGCTGAGATACTGTTGTATCACTGTGACTGTACACTAACTCAGTGCATCTTTAAAGTGCTTCTTGGTTTGGTGCCTTCTTATTTATGTTCTATTACCTTCAAAGAACCAGAAGCCACTATGCCTTGCGTTCCTGTGATGTCTTTAAACTGTCTGTGCCCGTGTCCGCACTGAGCTCGGGAAAAGAGCGTTTCGTTTTGCTGCTCCCACCGCATGGAACTTTCTCCAAAATGAATTGAAAATGGCGGATCTTATCTCGCTTGAAGCCTTTGGCTCAATCTTAAAAGATAAAATACGCGAGTCAATTGGAGAGTGCCTGTGTTTCTGAATTGTAATCCGTGATCAAGATTCTGCACTTTATTTGTAAATCAATTTGCACATTGTAAATCGTTGTTCTCTCTTAACTTGTTGTTTGTAAACTGTCTCTTTATCATGTAATGCTTTTTATGACGTGTGCTGCTGCCTTATTGGCCAAGTCACCCTTGTGAAAGAGATCCTGATCTCAATGGGTTATTCATCTAGTTAAATCAAGGTTAAATAAAATAAAATAAAAATTTACCATTTACCATTTACCATTCTAAAAGTCAATAGATGAAGGGGATGTAGAGATGAGCATGAAGGATGAGGTATGAATGGATGAGTGTAAGGGTCGAGGGATGAGGGTTGAGGTATGAATGGATGGGGGTAAGTGTTGGAAGATGTGGGTTGAGAGTAAGGGTCAAGGGATGTGGGATGAAGGGAGGGGGGTAAAGGTTGAGAGTTTGCAGGATGCTGACATGTGATGAAAACATTGTGCTGATGTTGTAGTCAGAGACCAAGACGTTCCCCAGAACAGAATGCTCAGAGACCGAATCAAGACCGAGGCAGAGCGAGGCCGAGATAAGAACAAGACCATAAATATCTCTGAAAAATCATCATCTTGTGTTCAGCAGGCGTGTCACTCACTTAGACCATTTGCGGATGTAACCCGGGGATAAAAATCAAGTTATGAATCAATTGAAGTTATTTATTATTTCTTCTAATTACAGTAATGACAGAGAAAAATAGCTTTACAGTGGTGTTCGTGACTGATCTTGATTTGTAATCCGGAGTCCGCCTGGTCTGAGACTGAGACAAAACCAAGCAAAAATGCTTTCGATTCCGAGCAAGACTGAGACCTCCAAAAACTGGTCTTAAGGCCGGTCTTGAGACAAAGACCAATTTCGAGTACTAGAACACTTTGTTGTGCAGTCCTGCACAAAGAGGGACACCTGGTCACCCAAAGAAAACTAGTATCCATAATTACAAAGACCAAATACTTTTTGATATAAGACACTTTGAAATGTATCAACCAGACGGAACAAACTTTGTCTTTAGTGAGAGCAGAACACAAACAAGCTCAGCGTGTTAGTGAAGTGTCAGTTTTACACCTGCAGATACACCATGTCATCTTTCTACAGAAGCTAGTTTCCATTGTGCGGGATTTGACACTAACACATATGCATACAAGTTACTTTAAAAATAACAATAGGCTTGGGCGGTTGGCCTGGGTCTCATTTCTGATAGCTGTCGTTCTCATGTATCTAATTTAAGAACTTGGTCTCATTAACCACAAAGTCCATACAGTGAGACACACACGTATCCTCTGTACAGTCTCAGTGTTCAGCTTCATCATGGCCGGACGTCTGCTGTTTGTCTTCTTCATGTGTAAGTAAAACCTTTATTGATTTATTCAGTATTATTGTGGACTATTATAAAGCTCTGCAGATTGAAACATGACGTTAATGTGTCATGTCAGATATCATCATATCAGTGATTAAGCATTGAGTCTGTGATATTGTGTTTTGTGTGTTCTGCCAGTTGTGACAAATAAAATCTATTTTTGTCTCCATTTGATTAAAATAAATGAATAGTTGGAAGAGTTGAAATGTGTGAACTCTTGGAGTTATTATTATGTGTAGTCAACTTACTTTCACTGTGTTTTTTAAACAGATGTCTTTAATGGGATTCAAACAGAAGGTCAGTCTGTGATCTCTCATGGTTCATGTCTAACTGTGCTGTGATCGCTGCACTACTGAAGAATTTAAACATTTATATGCAGCTTATGTTTGAGTTTGATAAAACATATTCATGGTTTATATTTTCAGCTCGTCTTCCACCTAAACTTACAGTGAATTCAGCGGTGATCAAAGAGACAGACTCAGTCACACTGAACTGTCAGACTCCATCATCAGTGTCTCAGTGTTATTACCAAACTTTAAGTGGAGAAACTGTGAAGATATTATCCTGTCTGCAGACACTGACAGGAAGTGAACTGCTGAGGATGGATCATCAGAGTTCATCTGCTGAGGTCAAAGTGAAATGTTTTTACACTGTTCAGAGTGGAGGCAGAAATGTTCCATCTCCACACAGTGACACAGTCTCCATCAGCATACAAAGTGAGTAATAGAAGTGTTGTCAATATTATTATATTTTGTCACATAATCAGAAAGAAACAAATTGGTTCAAGCAGTCTGATTTAAAGAGTTGGAATATTGTCAAAAGGCATCCTCTATCAGTATACATTTGTCAAGTGATTTATTTGAATGAAAATGCTTTTGCAGATTTGAGATGTATTTGAGCTACATTTGCTTTGTGTGTTTTAATAATTATTTTGAAAGTGATTATATAAGATAATCTGTTGTTGTTTATAGTCCTAAAAACACCAAAACAAACATACTAATGGGAGCACTGGTGGAACATGTATTATACTGTGATCCAGCGGTGATCACAGAGACAGACTCAGTCACACTGAACTGTCAGACTCCATCATATGTGCCTCAGTGTCAGTACTTCACTTTAAGTGGAGGAACTGTGAGGACATTTTCCTGTCTGCAGACACTGACAGGAAGTGAACTGCTGAAGATGGATCATCAGAGTTCACCTGCTGAGGTCAAAGTGAAATGTTTTTACATTGTTCAGAGTGGAGACAGAAATGCTCGATCTCCAGAAAGTGAATATTCCTCTGTCTCTGTTCAAAGTAAGTAAATCTGTCTTCAAGCTGGATCAGCACAAGAAAAACCCTGTGGTGTAAATGTCATGAGCAAAACATTTTATTTTATTTTTAGATGAGACAAACCCGAACAAGGAGAGTGTCAGCACTTTGACAACCTCAGTTTCTATTGTAACTTCACCTGCTGATCAAGGTGAGTATAGCCTACTACATATTTCAGTGTTGCTTTCACTTTTACCATCATTTACTAACTAGCACTGTCACATAAAACTACAGTCCCACATTTTCCTTAAACATCAGACTGCTGTTAAAACATAATTTTTTCAGACATTCAAGTCCAACAGACTCCTGATTTATCCTTTAAACAAGTCCCACACAGCGGGAGTTTGCTTGGACAAACTTAGTGGTATGATGGTCAAAGTCATACGTTGGTCAAAGTCATACGTTGGTCAAAGACGATACCAAGATTTGATATTTGGTTGAAACGAGCCAATTAACTGATCAACTACAGTGGTGATGGTATCTGTTACAATAAAATGATATTTCAGTTTTGTCAGGATTAGGATTAAGTAAATTAAGATAAATCCACTTTTGGATAGCGACAAAGCAGTTATTAACAGTTATGAGAGGACAGTTGATTCCTTATTATTGGGTTTTATCATCAAAGTTTTATAGTCCCCTCCATCAGCAAAAACAGAGGTGGTTTTTCCGTGCTGGAAATCAAAAGAAAGCCTGATATGTCTCATGTTGTCAAGCACATTGACGTTGATATCACTCTAACCTCTTCTGCTGCAGGTATTGTAGAGAAAGAGTCCAGATGGACCCAGAGGACACCATCACTCATCACAACCACAGGTAGGACATTGTATGATTCTAGATCACTTTTAAAGTATTATTAACTCTATTTTTTTACTTTATTCACCAGGTCTGCCTACAAGTAGCTCTAGTGCCTCCACTATTGTGAGACCTTTAAAAAAAACTTCAGGTAATTCAATCATTTACGTAATACATTTAATTTATTTTTTTTCATTATGTTTAGTTTGAAATTATATTTTTTTAATTAACAAGGTTGGACTGTTGGCACAGCAAGTAACAATGATGGTCCCAACTTTGCCCACTCAACATCAGTGAAACCAGAATCAGGTGACATGTTTAATTTTGCTTTAACCTCAATGCCAGTTTCAGCACAAGACAACATGGATGGTTGATGGTTATTGATTGCTCAACCTGATATCTGTGATGGATATACAGGTTCATAACTTTTTGTGAAGAAAGCTTTCCTGCTGTGTGGGATTATTTGACTGTTTCATGTAGTGTGTTTACGCTCTATGTTGAATAATTCAGATAACCTTAAAGCCAGAAGTCAACGGACTGACTTAGATCAATTGTGTTACAATCCGGGGAGAGCAGGGGCAGTTGTATCCTGAAACTGTGCAAAAACTCCATTAGATTAAAAAGCAGATGCATGGAGTGCTGCATGGAAGTTGAAAAAAGTTTTGATAATTAATCCTTCTGGTGCTCTTCAGTGCGAGTATCCAACTTAAAGGCTTTTGAAGAAGTCTGAGTGCCTCAGATTTCTTCAAAAGCTCCCTTAGATTGTCTTATCTGAACAAAAAAGGAACCACTTTTGAAAGCTACCAACTTCATCGCCTTTGGTTTCTTTTTAGGTAAAAGTTTGTGTAATTTGCGTGACTTGAATGTAAATGTTTGATAATCAGCTGATTGCACTGTAAACCCGAACAAGTTGAAGTACTCAAAATGTTTGTCGTAACTGATTACCTCAAAGTTTTGAGTAGTAGAAATAAAAATTTTTAGTAGAACTGAAATTAATAAATATAATTTCAGTTCACTCATTGTTTTCTTATTTTCTTTTTTAATTTTTAAGTTTCCCAACTCAAATGTATACTTATAAAAAATATATATTTTTAAGTTATG